AGGGGAATCCGTTATGGAAGTTTGATAATATTCTTGGAAAAGTCATTTTTTTTAAGCTTCCAAATATATTCAGCTCAAAAGGGTGCCAGCTAGATAAGAATGAAAGTTTCCATTCATTTGGAGATGTACTGTGAAAGTTGTCATGAAAAAGGATTGATCTACACATTTCAAAATATGGATTCAGCTTAGGGACTTTTTAGTTTGATGCTCAGAGATGAACAATATCGAATCCTATTGAGACACAGAAGCATTTTTTTCTCCTTTTATCAGCCTAATTCTATTAAATTATACTATTAGAGGATGAAGTCATCAAGCTTAAATGAAACTGCAAAAATCTGATCAGGCCTGAGATCACTGTCCAATCCACAATATTTCAAGCAAAACCTGTTGTTGCATGGTAGCTAATGCAAAAGATTAAAAAGCATTATTCCGGTTTCGCTAATGCACCACGCTTAAATCACTTCCTTGAAACAGCAAATGATCCCCGGCCACTAGCTGGTAATCCTGAAATATCCAAGCTATTCAACATGTAGAACAGCTAAGTACACTGAACTCTGATGGAAAAGTGCATAGTAAGAGACAAATTATCACATGAGCACCGTTAGAATGACAGCAATCATGGTAACAAAGACAGAGCTACCCACTTCCCAGCAGCATTATTCCAAAAATATTCTCCATGAAACACCACTTTTAGAATGATCCTGTTACAGTACAAAAGCATTCGGAGAGCAGGGTTTTCTTGGTTTGCCTTCTTGAGCAGGATAAGGTTCCCCCCGCTCCCTCCCGCCCTCAACTCTGGCTAAAGATTAATCCATTGAGAAGGATTTCAGACTAAGCCCCACATCCAGGAATTTGCATCCACATAGTCAATTGCGATATGCTGGCCACTAGCACCCCCAAAACCAGACGCTATCCTAAAAGGTACCTACCCTGGCAAAYGTGCACAGAATCTGTTACACAGATGCACAGAGGGGCTGAGATAGCAAAGTCAGGCTGCACTGTTGTACGTCTGGGGGCCACCTGATAACCACTCTATGGAAACACCCTTTCTGCAATGCTTTTGAGCAACAGAAAATACTAAATTGGAAGGGTGCAAGTCATTATCTGCTAGCTGACATTTTTCTGGAAGCAAACTTTAAATTTCAACTAATCAAGCAAGCGATTCCTACTAGCCACAGCCACTATCAAACCACTCGAAGACAAAACTTACCACTAACAAAAGGATCATATTGTACCATGGTCAAGATAGGAACACTGGAAGAAATATATAGAAGGTTAATCAAAGTATCAAGGAGGACCCACATTCCCAACATATTGGCTGAATGGTATTCCTAATATGACATCTGTAGGACATCTTAAGGCAAAATTATTTCAGCATTTATCCAAGTAAAATGTCTTATTTCCCCTCTTACAATCTGTAACTTTTAAATAAAAGTTAAGTATTAATTGTTAAAAGTATTTTGGGTAAAGAGTTGCACGGAATTATGAAGAATATTTACATCATACTCGACACTAGTTTTATGATTTTTTCCCCTATAGCTCTGAAGACTTAAAAGTTAAAAATAACTTTTAGAAGAGGTAGAGAAAATGCATTTGGGCAACACCAGGAACTAAAATTGTAATTCTCTAATTCTCTTGAAAACGAAACAAAAGCGAACAGGCAGTAAGACCTCCTCTGTCTTCCACATCCTTCATGTGAAGCACAAAGAGCAAAAGTAAATGTGTGCCAGGCACATGCTAGTCAAGGAAGTTTAAGCTTAAGCATGAGGCACAATTGCATATTCACAAGTCAAACCTGCGATTAAGAAATTGCTGCAAGAAAGCATAAGACATCTAAGACATCTATTTAAAACTAAGGTGGAGGAAAAATAGCATATCTTCCTCCATTTTAGATCTAGATAGATTGAAAACACTCACTTTACTTAAGCAAGGATAGACTAGATGTTGGTGTGGTAACAATAACATCTAAATCTGTTATGAACAAGCCAAGAAAGCAGTTCAAACCCCGCGGCCTTGCCTACAGCAGTGCTCTCGACACTGCTGAGACTCATCTACATTATTGCAACTTTACCTAAAAGTGGAGATGCATACAAAGAAAAGATCAATAGAAAAGGGAAGTAAAATTCCTATTAGGAGTATGTTGTGAGCAGCCTTTCTACAGTTACTAAATATAAAAGTATTTGAAACAGCTATGCAAGAATTAATATGCACTTGAGAGCTATCTGCCCAAGAAATCTATAATGAAAAATCACTGTCTTTTCTTACATTGTGATGATACCACGGATCTACCCCAAAAAGGCATGCCTCAGGGTAATGCAGGGAAGCTTTTTGAGTTAGATCTTCCAGAACAGAAATTAGTAGTGTAAATTAAAGAGATGTTATCTTGTGGCTAGGTTAAGGAAGGGAAGTCATGTGCTCTTAAGTTCTCCACATCCGCTCTGGGTGCGTGTGCATATATCTTTTTACGATTTGCTTTTATTGCTGCCACTTTACACAATTCACGTTTTTGCTCAAAGCAACTAGGGATGTTTCTGAACTAGTTAAACAAATGACTGCCAAGTTGGGCAAGAAGCAAGTCCACGTTGTTTTGGCATCACGTGGTTGTAAACATTTCCATTTAACTCCCAGACTGAAAGTCAGAAATGTATCAAAAAAATGGGATGTTACCATTCCAGAAACACATCTCCCCCTCCCTGAAGGCAGCTTGTAGGAGTGCTGAAGGCATCTTTAACAGGCTGATCAGAATGGACTGAAGAGGCACATACACCTGAACCTGTAGACTCTAACATCACACAGCTCTGCAGTTGGGCTGTTTGCTCCTCTTCAGCTCATACTAGCAAAAAAATTAGCTTGCACTTCAACATGCAAAACTCTCATCTACCAAGGAGTTGCAAACAAATGCACATTCCAAATCTTTAAGACAGATTTCTTGCCTTTTTTCCTCTCTCTCAGAATGGATTATCAGTTATCAAACTGTACAGTACAACTTATTTCTGTTTTTCAGTGTCAAAACTGTTCAGGCAGCTAGCAACTTCCTTCTTTGGTATTTATTCTTTCTACTTCATTCACRGATATAAAAGCTGAAAAAAAAAAACAACTCAGAGAGCTTGTTGGGTTACACACTTAGTACAGTGCCTAAAATTTTTGCTAGACTTCAAAGGTTTTTAAACGAGTAGCTCCAGACCTACACTGGATCAGAACAAGATCAACAGTGTGAAGGGAAATACAAAGCAGTAAGCCAAATACATTTCTAATTATTTCCTTTATTTTTAGGAGAAAATATGAGAAAGTGCAAATCGGCTCCAACAACTTGACAGGTTTTTCTCTGTTGCCAGGGCTTGCTCGGAAGAGCTGCTGTAGGAGCACAATGCCCAGGAAGACTCTTTAGAACTAGTTTCAGCTTAGCTGGAAAGCCTTCTAGGGCTACATCTACCTATGCTAGGTAGGCAGCAGGATACTTTAGGTCTTCATCCAAGCCCAGGATAAAGACCAATTCTCTCCTTTAGGGATAAAAGAAATCAAGTGAGATTGGCATTTTTTCTTGTTCTATATCTGCCTAAAACACTGACTAGCCCAGTACTATGTTGCTTCAGTGCACAAAAAAACAGTAATGCTCACCACATTTCACAGGAACAATTAAGAAGAAACATGAAGAACAAAAACAACTTTGGGAATATTTACAGGAAACCTCTTCTAAATGTATGGGGGTACAGGAGAAAGTATAAATGTGTTTGAAATGTTAATAAGCTATTATAAAAGCCTGCATCACAGAGAAACCAGGTAAGAAACTGTAGGATTGCTAGCTCAAGATGCAGTTTGTTCTTCGGTTCTATTAAATCTCTGCTCTTAGCACACAACCTGATAATTTATTTCATCTATCCTACTTGAAATAATTTAGATGTTGCATGACTGTTTACAGTTACAAGAGATCACCTCTGCCAGTGATGCTCTAAAGCAGGTCTGTAAAAAAATACGACTCACAAAATTTCTTTTACTAGAGCAAAACAGCAGGCCAACGAACTCCTTTTACTGACCTCTCTCTCCTTACCAGAGCACATTACTGGCCTGCTGCCACCACTGCAAGGTCCAAAAGTGCACCTAGCTCTTAAATAAAGGAGAGCTCTGGCCAGACACCACGTATGGAACRCCTGAGCACCCACTGCCATAGCTACCAGTTCTGCCGGGCTCCCCATTCAAAATATCTGCCCAAGTGAGAACATTTAGGAGGAAAAAAAGAAGGGTCGGAGGTGTTTGGTGGATGAAGGACAGGAAAATTCCTGTTTTTTTTTTTTTTTTCTTTTTGATGGGGGAAGGGAGGGAATGTGGGATGTGGAGCTGCAGATCAATAGCAGCTGCTTAAAGCTGCTACTGAAAAACCCGCTCACTGAAACTTCTTTAATTGTTGCACTGCAGTGCCATGCACCGTATGATCAGCAGGGGCTTCCCTACCCAAAGCACTGCTCAGGGAGGCCAGGGAAAGAGAGGATTAAGAACCATTAATTCCATACATTGCCATTGCTGTGCATTAGCAGTTCAGAGGGAAGAACTGAGTGACCCCACAGCCCATGGAGCAGTAACAGGCCTTRCAGAGGTAGGTTCAGATTCGCTAAGAAGCTGCACTTCTGTTTTGGAGTAGCAATAACATACACAACAGAACTGAAGAAGCAGGAAGATGAGGGGGTTTTTTTACTATAAGGAGTATGGCTTAATAAAACTGTAAAATTTATTATTATTATCTGCTTGTGCAAATTGTATGTCTCGTTCTGAATAAATCGGCTACCTCTTGCAGTAWGAGCAGAGAGCAACCAACAATCTTGCTGGTGAAATGAGTATATCAACAGGGAACCATGAAGTGAAGATTCAAATAAGATACTGTATACACTCGTTCATTGAGGATTTTTATATAAGAAATGCACAGTGTAATTTTGAACTGCATTTGTTTGATAAAATGATCATCTAARTTAACCCACTTGCATTTCTTTGCCATTCTATACCTACAAAAAAAAAAAAAAATCCAGTAATGAAATTCCCTAATTTGGTTCCATTTTGCAATACAGGAAGTCCCTTAGAACAAGAAACCTTTTGTTTACTTTTTCATTACCCTTGGAGTGACAAAAATACAATGTATACTTTTTTAAATTGCCAAGTTTGAGGGTAACAGGGCCAAACACTAATACATYAATCAGAAACCATAAGGAGAGAGTTTTTCTGGCACCTACTCCAGAATCTCAGGCTAATTCTTGTACTGTTTTATTGTGTGGACTGTGATTTATTTGATAGCGGGTAAATAGACTTCACTCCATATACCAAAGAAGACCAGACCTAGTTTTAGGTGAGGAAGTATCACAGATTTGTGTGCTTTACCCCCAGCACCATTTTATTAGATAACTCCCAGAAATAAAATAATGGCAGTTCATACTTGACAGGGGAAGAACCAGCATATGCCACATGCAGCATACAAACATATAGACATGTTTGTATGAAGTATTTATGAAACCTATACTAGCTGAGCCCTTGTAAAGCAGCCACGGTTGCCAGCACAACTGCTCTAGCAACCACATATGGGCAGCCTCTGCACAGCTTTTTGCTTCAGGTAAAACCAAGATGGTTTGTTCCTGACACTGTAATAATGCCTTTGACAAATATTTTCTCCTGAAAATAAAACCTCATACTCTTGCTCTGACCACAGGAGTTTTTCCAGTAACTTCCAAACTTCGTTGCTTCAGGGAAGGCATTTAGAAGCCATAGTACAGCTTATTGCTGATGCACTGGTTTATCTGGCTGCTCCTAGGTACCTCATGCCAGATACCATCATCAGCTGGTCAAACAAATGACACAAGTCCTCAGGACACCTGCCCAGAAACTGGTGTATGACCACAGACTTCAGAGTTCAACCTCTTGTGAGTCTTCGCAGGCATCGTACAAGTGAGAAATGGTGCTCGGTTTGGGGAGAGGAGCTTCCCAYGCAGATCCACAACAAAAATGAAGTTCAACGACATGGCAGCTCCCGAATTTCACTGCAAATATAGCAAGGTTTTCTAGGCCATCTTAGAGCTGCTACAACAACTTCACGAGTCCTTCAAGAAAGCTCACTCACATAGAGTGATGGAAAATTATGCTCTTGTGAAAAATGCTATACAAAAACCTAGTTTGGCAACAGCTGCGCTAGAAACACTCGCTCTCACGCACATGTATTCCAGCAACTCTGTGATACAAAGAACAAAAAGAACCATCCTGGAATTAATAAAGCTGGAAAAAGAAACAGAAGCAGGGGCTACCCTGCACAGGACACACTAAGTGAGTTATGATGTTTCCCTCAGGACTAGTACGGGTATGCAAAGTGCAAGTTGTCAGTGTCACACTCTGGTTTACCAGCAACAACAAAAGCATCCAGGGTGTGTTTGCACAATGCAGAGCAAGATGATTTCATAACACACTATCTTCCTCTCATTTTGAAAAACTGAGCTTACCTTGACCTGGGGTTCTTCATTTCTTCATGCTCCTCCGAGCTATGCAAATTCAGCTCAACCTACTAAAATGGCAGAGATGCACTGAACACACAGTTTCCTGCCGTTTTGGTGAATCCAGCTCACAGGAGCGAGCTCAAGCGTCAGAGCCGCCGCCATCAACAGGAAAGGGAAGAAAGAAGGTAAAGAACCTCCTTCCTTCACCAGGAGCAGAAAACTTAGAAATGGTAGAACTGGCCTTGAAATTGCAGCCACTGACAGCACCGCAGTTTTTCCCCTCTTTGACCCTTCCCCCAGTTGACTGGGGAARGTAGGAAGTGCATTTCACCACACACACACCAAAACTCACTGTTGGCCTCTCTCTCCTCACCAAGGCTTCTCAGTGTTAAACCTGCCCACTCACCCCGAGGCCCTTCGAGTCTCAGAAGGGAGTCGTAAAGGACCAACTGAGTCACTGTGTTCTTTAACCCAAAAAAACAAGCAACGCTGCCATAGCCCCAAGTCAGATTTTTATTTTAAACAAGGCACAGGGGGAAAAGTTCCCCCAAAGTTCCCTTTTTTCCCCCATTTCCAAAAATGGCTGTTTAATAGGGATGTTTCTTTATTTGAAAATTAACTCAGCCTGCTCAACACCAGTTTTGGCTGCAGTTCTCATTAGACAGTGGTACCGTGCTTCCATACCTGCACTCCTAGGGAWATAGTATTCTCTTCCAAAATATGTTTGTTTAAAGGTAAATTAAGTTTATACACTCAAGAAAATTATACTGATAACAAAACTTACATCAAGTTTATAATACTGTAAGGTTTCCAGGTGTGTAAGTTCTAACTTAAATTAAGCTCTTACTTCAAGAGAAAAAAAAAAAAAGAAAAAAAAAACTTAAAAGAAACTTTAAAAGGTAGCTTTAGCCTTATGCTTATGCACCACAGGATAACTATACTAGAAAGGATGAGAGGAGAAAATCTCCCCTGGAGCCCAGTAGTTTTTCTAACCTAGGCATTCAACAGTATTGTCCTTGCAGGCTGCYCTCCCTCGTTTTTGGTCAAACAGTGTTCCCTGTTGCTCGATTGAGGCCTCCATAGCACAACACGGAAGAGAAAGAAAAAAAATATATATATATAAAATAGTAATATTAAAAGGGGGATCCCAAGGTGGCTCCCGGGGCGCGGGGCTGACTCGGGCTGTCCCCAAGGCCGGGCCGGGCGGCGCGGCGCTCGCACGTGCGTCCCGCGCTCCGGC